AGTTAAACCTCCAAGACCTTAAATTCTCAAACGTACTTTAATTTCCTTTTAAGTGGTCTTGAATTTGACACGTGAGTGAATAAAGGTTTATGTCCATCTTGCTTGAATCCTAAGCTCATGGTTATTTTTTATATAATTGTCTCTTTATATTTTAGGTTTATGCATAAATTAATGAACATTTATACATTTGTATTACAATATATATTATTGTAAACTTACAACAACATATATTATGTTTAGTGGGAGAAATTAAGAGAAATATAACTCCCAAAAACATAATAGAATGATGAAGTGAATAAATTTAATTGGTTATTTTCACACAGCACGTATGTGTAATTTAAGCAAGCTTTGGATGCCTATTATAAGAATTCTTCTTTTATTTTGCATATGAGGCAATTTTCTCTCATTTTTCTATTCATTCTATTGCACATTTATTGCACATTGTACAATATAAATTCAAAACTATACTTTTACTAAAAAAAATTATCATTAAATTATTTATAAAAATTTATTGGTGAGAAATTCTTTTAATACAAAGCTTATTGCTACTAATAACCTAAGTGGTTTAATGATATTCTCTTTTCCAAGTGAAGCAAAAGATCCTATATCTGAGTTATAAACATAAGAGTAGAATGGGTAATGGGATAGAAGAGATTTTACCTCTCATTGTGAAACTCTTTTTTTTTTTTTTTTTAAAGAAATGCTTATTGCAAGATGAATTAAGCACATTCTTATGTATGTTTTTCTCTCACATACCTAAAGGAATATAATTCACTCCTAGTCTTCTCATAATAGAATCTCAAAATCTCATATGTCACTAATTATACAATAGATTCTTTCTACTTAACAAAATATGAAAATTAAAATTTATTTCTTTAATATCATGTGACTTTGTGTATCAATTGCAACACCCAAAAGCATATTGCCTGTATACTGAATAAGGAATTAACAAGGGAACATTCTGTCCCTAGTTTCTTTAAGCAGTTGTAAAATCAAGAATTAATTAAAAATAGAACCTTTTCCTTTTTAAAGCTTGAGCCATAATCTTTTCTTTTTACACAAACATTAAGGGTAAGAATTTTAAATCTTTTTTTTCTCTATAATCGTAATTTGATCCTCCTTATTTTAAAATTTTTTAGAACCATAATATGGCCAATGCCCAACCATGATTTTATGTAAGTTCAATGAATGCTCTCAAAAGCTTGTTCCTTTGCAATGGATCAATCAAATTACTCTCTAGAGCCGTCCTTCAAACCCTCAAGTTATCCATCACGTTTTTCCATGTGATGGATGGAGTGACGGTACTCTGTTTCAAAAGTGAGAATACTGCTAGGGGCACTAGAATTTGACCCCCTAGTCCTAATTCCCCTTACCCACCCTATAAACATAAAGCGTATCACAGACAACTTACTGGAGAGTTAATTGGCCGACTTAAGAATACATGCATAAATAAATACAAACACATATGAAAACTCATATATGAATCTTTACTCCAACACAATTGCCCTTGTTAAAAACCCTCAAAAAGCATCTCTTAGGCCATGACATTGATTGAATTTAAGAGGGTGTGGTAGCATGGTGGAGCCCATAAACCACCCACCCGTTTAATAAGTATCAACCATGGTATGCCAAGCCTTGAACTAAAAAAACTACATAATATATGTACTCAACATTTTTTTATGAAAAAACCCCAACTTAAAATAGAAATAGTTAGGATATCTTTAGATTACCTTACACACAAAATTAATCTCTTTGTTTTCTTTCTCTCTTTTTTACATAGATTTGCAATAATAGGAAAATAAAATCAAGCAACCATGAAAAGCTCCTGGAAATTGAAACTATTAATAATTTGTCATTTTCAGCAAATTAAAGAAAAAGTTTAAAGAGGAAGTTTCTAACTTCACCAATACATCTAACTTCTTTGTTTATATGGCAAAAGTTGCTTTGAGGCCAACATTAGAAATTTCCCACCAACGTCATAGGAAGTCCCTCTAATTTGTAGCTAGCTAGGTACGGTTTCCTTCATTTTAAAAATCACGAAAGATGGCTACTTCTACAAATGCTAACTTTGCTTTTGATAGATTTCGCGTGCTTCTCTCTCTCTCTTTGGAATTCTTATTGTATAGTTTTATTTTTATTTTGAAGAGCAGCAATATTCTTGAGGTGTAGTTTTGAACATAATGGTAAATAATTATCAAGTTTGGATATTTTCTCTTATGTATAATTAGAAGATATATTAAATTAACCACCAATTTAAGGAATATAATAGTAATATTTTTTCTAAATGAAGTAAAAGACCCCAAATTATAAAACTCAAAATCAAAGAAAAAGGAAAAATATATTAAAGTAAAACCTTAAAAGGGGAATGAGAAAGACGTTTTCCAATCTTAGCTAACAGTGTATTTAGTTTGAAAGAAATAAAGAGAAGAGATGGAAAAGGAAGGGAAAGGAAGGAGAATATTTTTTTTTTATCAATCAAATTGTAATATTTAAAAATATTATAATTTAATTAGTTAAAAAATTCTCATATCCTTTCTATTTTTTTAATCTAAATATACTATTGGGGCCCATTTCATTTGAAGGGAGAGAAGTTCATTTCGCCTAATTAAATTAAGATATTGACCCAATTTATATACATAGTATAAAACTAGAATGAAAGTAGGATGCCAAATATCTATATCTTACCATTACATCAAAACTTCACTCAAAATCAATATTCACAAATTCTAATTCAATATTTTTCATAGAAGAAAAAACTTAAAGTATGTTTAGTTAGAGAAGAAACAAGACAATAGATCTTCTTAGTTACAATTCATTGTTTTTTCATTTGTCTTCTTTTTAAAAATTTAGACAATTGGGTTAGGTGTAATTGAAGATTGAAATCCCAATACAACAAGAAGTAGTATTTACTGTGTGTGTTAGTTATGCCCTTAACAATGATGTTAAGGTCTAACAAGCACATTTTAGAAAAACTACTTAGAAACCATGCTATGATTATGGCCTAAAAATTAAATTTGTTAAGATTATATAAAATTATTAAATTTTAATTTTAATTTAATTATTAAAAATAATTAATATTTAATATTTAATAAATTAAAATTAATTTATAAATTAGTATTTTTAAATATTATTACTAATTATAAAAAATTATAAACTAATAAAATTACAATTAAATTAATTAAATTGAGGACTCCTAGCAACCTCAGTCAAGAAGCCATGAAAGAGCAAAAAAGTGTGAAAGGGGCCACCACGTCAGACATGTGGGACCCACAATGGGTTGAGAAGCGCGGATCGTGTCCTGCTTTTTTCATGCCAGGTCATCCCCTTCCAGAAAGAACCAATCAGAGTGCATTTTTCTTGGGCCAAAAAAAATCAGCGTGCGCTAATTAGAACCTTAAAATTTTCAAATTCATCGTGAAAAAATAAAAATGTAAAACAATAATTATAGATTTAAATAATTTAATAATAATATTTTTTAAAAAAATAAAAATTTTGAATTTAAATTATATGATATATAAGTAGAGTGAGATTTAAAAATAAGAAAAAATTATTTTTTATTGTATAATTTAAAATAAAATAATAACATAATACTACAATAAAAAAATATTGAATAAAATAAAAAGATATTAATGTTTATCTACTGTAATAATAAATAAAGGCTCCGTTTAGTGGTTTGGGTTTTTTAAATATAAATAATTAATAATTAATAATTAATAATTAAATTTAAAAATTAAAATTAGTAATTTATTAGTACAAAATTTTAAAACTAATATCCAAAATTTTAAAGTTAATTAATATATATAATTTTTTAATTTTATTTTAAGGTTTTAAAATTTTTAAAAATCAAAATAAAAAATTTAAAATTACAACTAAATTAAACAAAATCTAAAAGGAAGAAAAATACCATTATGCCATATGAATAAATTGTTATTAAAAAAGATTAAAAAGGTGTTTGAATTGGCTGTTTAAATATAATTAATAAGTGATAGTTAATATAAAATAGTCAATAATTGTTATTATATATAATTTAAAATATTTAATTTATTTGATTTTATATAAAAAAAATCCATTTGATTAAAATTAATAATTAATATCTATTTACTAAATGTCAAAACAAACATCCTTTATTTATTATGCTTTTGATTTCTATTTTTTATTTATTTAATAACTATTATTATATTTAAAAATCAAAGAGAATATGGTTTTACAATTTATTGTATGTGAAATGCACTTTCTTTTTTCTAATAATTTTTGGAGGGATGATTCCCTATATCAAGAGTTTTTTTTTTTTTTTTTAATATTGGATGAAGGATTATATATTAAAGATAACTCTTTGCTTCCCATATTTCTTCCCCACCTATCCTAGATTTAAACTTGAGCTATCAAGAGACTTATTCCTCAATCAATTTTTTTTATAATAAAATATAAATTATATAATAAAAGATAATTTTTTTTTTTAAATTCTAACTTACTTGATCTTTAATTTA